GTTCTGATTGGCAACCTCGAGCATCTCGATCTGCAAAGCACATGTTTGGTCATTAGCATAGCCGACTGCTAGAGCTTCTTGCTTGGCATTCATCTCTGCGTTTTCCAGTTCCAGTCTGAGTTGATTGATGTGAGCATTCGCGTCAGTTCCCACATGTACCATAATTGCGTTTGCTTGTCCCATTTGTTCATCGAATTCCGAACGTAGTCGTGAATATTTGAATTCCAATGAGATGCAGCTTCATTCGACATAGTCTGATACCTTTCCAACTCTTCGATCCTGTAGGTCGCACCTTCATCTTCCTGTTGTGCAGCCTGTAACTCGAAGTTCAGCATCTGGAGTTGTTCGGTCATCGACATCATCTCTTGATGAGTGGTGCTTTCCAAGAAATTAAATTGTTGATAGGCATATGCTGTTGTCTCGGTCAATCTTGCCTGAAGTACGGATTCTTCTTCAGTGGCCTTTTCCAGTGATGTCTTGTATTCAGCTAGTTCACTCTGATAGGCAGTGAAGATGTCGCTACCACTTGACGGGGCGTTCACTTGCTGGTAAGATCCTGTCCCTGATGGAGTAGCGTCCTGAATCGGTGAAGGCGGATTCGACGACGTAGTCTTTGCCTTAGTCCTTGGAGTCATCGGAGGCGACAATTGTCGTGCAGATGATCTTCTCTTTCCAGGTGTGCTGTCCCTATCTTCAATGGCTTGCATTGTCGAAATTTGTCTCCCTCTAGGAGCAACCAGAGGTCGCCTGGGTAGGCTTGTTCTCAATTCTGAGGCATCGCTTCCACCAGTGTCGATACTCTTGTGAAGAATTTGACTGCGTGCCGGCAGCTGGTGCGACGGCATGTCCAGAGAAAGAAAATGCGTTATCGCTGCTATCCTGTTCAGTCATCTGTAAGGCCCGCGGCTACCCGCTCGTAGGCTCCGTAGGAGTCCTACGGCTGATAACCTGTGAATCGGAGGTTATCTCCCCGATTATGTGCTGTTGTTTGATCTTGAGGTTGATGTTCTCAACAACGACGACACGGGAATTGCAGTTTCAGCATGGCGGCGTTTTTCTCTTGGCACCTGCAGTAATCTTGAGCCAAAGGAGCAAATTGATGCACCCCTTGGCGGTGGACAATTAAGGGTTGAATTATATGGGAGTGTGCAGTGATCCGTAGCCTACACTCCATTCGCATAGATAGATAGATGGATAGATAGGTAGATAGATGGATTAAATTAGTTTATTAGATAGACAAATCAAAAGATAGATAGATAGATAGGTATAGGATGGGATAGGAAAGGATAGGATAGGTTATATAAGATTAGATAAGATTAGATAAGGATTACGCATTCCGGCGCCTGGATATGATCCTGATCCTGCGTTCTCTGCTAGGTTAGCTAGGATTCGTGTCTCAGATTAATCCGATTAGATAAGCTTCGCTGCGCTTCGATTACAGCTTCGCCTCCAGCTTTTCTGCTAGCTTACGATACGCTTCGCTACGCTTCGCTCGCTCGCTCCGCGTAGTCGTCAGTCGATTCGCTCCGCTTAGATCCGCTGGGGTACATTCCTGCTTCGAAATCAGATTAGATAAATTAGATCAAGATAATACCATATTGCGTCTAGCAAATGTAACAGTCTGTCCGATCCTGTCGCGTAGAGATACGTCATTATATAAGATTAAGCAGATTGGATGATATTGGCTCAGATTGGATAGACTTCGGATAAGATCGATAACTTAGCTAAGCTTCGCTCGATTCGCTACATCGCTCAAAGCTTCGATCACTTCGATCAGCTAGCTCAATAGCTACGATTAGATTCACTCGCTCCAGATGCGATCATCTTCGATAAGATTAGATCCGCTTTGGCTACGATTAGTCCGAAAACTTGCTCCGCTTCGCTCCGCTTGGCTCAGCTTCTGCTCCGCTCGCTCCGCTTCGCTCCGCTTGCTCCGCTTCGCTGCTCCTTCGCTCCGCATTCCCTCCGCTTCGCTCGCTTCGCTCCGCTTCGCTCACTCTTCGCTCACGCTTCGCTCCCTCGCTCCCGCTTCCCTCCGCTTCCTCTCCGCTTCGCCCGCTTCGCTTTGCCGCTTACCGCTCGCTTCGCTCCGCTCCGCCCCGCTTCGGCGCTTCGGCTCCGCTTCGCTCCCTTCGCTCCGCTTCGCTCGCTTCGCTTCCGCTTCGCTCCGCTCTCGCTACGCTTCGCCGCCGCTCCGCTCCGCCTCGGCTCCTCTTCGCTCCGCTCGCTCCGCTTGGGCTCCGCTTCGCTCCGCTTGGCTCCGCTTCGCTCCGCTTGGGCTCGCTTCGCTCCGCTTCCTCCGCTTCTCTCCGCTTCGCTCCGCTTCGCTCCGCTTCGCTCCGCTCGTCCGCTCGCCGCCCGCTCCCTCGCTCGCTTGCTCCTGGCTCGCCTCGCTCGCTGGGCTCGCTGGCTGGCTCAGCTCGCTCGCTCGGCTCGGCCCGGCTCGGGTACCGCCTCCCCTCGCTCGCTCCCGCCATCCGCCCCTGTCGCGCTTCTCTCGCTGCTTCGCTCGCTCGCTGGCTGGCTCGCTCCTCGCTCGCTCGCTGCGCTCGCTCGCTCGTGCTCTCCGCTCGCTCGCTGCCGCCTCGCTGCCGGCCTCGCTGCGCTCCGCTCCGCTGACCCACCCTTCGCTCCCTGCGCCTCGCTCCCTCCGCTCCGCTCGCTCCCTTAGATAGACCAGATAGATAGATCAGATAGATAGACCAGATAGATAGATCAGATAGATAGATCAGATAGATAGATCAGATAGATAGATCAGATAGATAGATCAGATAGATAGATCAGATAGATAGATGAGACAGATAGATGAGACAGATAGATGAGATTGATAGATGAGATAGAGAAAGAGAGAAGGACAGATAGACAGATAGACAGATAGACAGACAAACAGATAGGCAAATAGACAGATAGACAAAGAGACAGATAGACAGCTAGATAAAGCTAGATAAAGCTAGATAGAGCTAGATGGAGCTAGATAGAGCTAGATAGAGCTAGATAGAGCTAGATAGCGCTAGATAGCGCTAGATAGCTGGATAACTAGATAGCTAGATAGCTAGATAGCTAGATCAATGAGCTTGCGTTCCAAAGTGAATCTGGAGGCGTGTGCGAGTCATAATCGATTAACATATTATAGTGCATGTACATTTCTCTCTCCCCCTCTTCATTGCTCTCTCCAAGAATTCAGACAATTTGGGGATAAGTATATTCTAATCTTCCTCTATATGTATATATAACAGCTCTTCAAAACTTCAAAAGATAGACATGCACACGTATATTATAATATATATATATATATATATGTGAAAATAATATGTATGCAAAGCAACGTTGTAAAAGATACAGAAAAAGTTATATGTGCTGCTATGTTTGTAAGGTTTTACTTTTCTATCCTATTTGCGGGTTGCAATGCCATTCGATATATAACTAGGTGAATATGAATACTATTGTAGGTTTACCACATTGGTAGTATAAGGTTAATTATATATGTTACTTTGTATGGCTGCACTATAAGTCTTTATAGTATATCAGCCCATCGGTTCTTATATGTTACACTATGTATGTTACTATTACTGGGGTGGGCCCAGTAATTGATTACCAGATTACCATGCTTTGCTATAAATTAGCTATAACATGTTATAACTATTCTACTGTTGGTATAATTAAGAAGCATGGGGTGGTTAGCCAACAAAACGATGGACTTGACCAACAAAACTGCGAATTGCACCAAGAAACAATTGGATTAACCGGCAATGATTGGGGTCCTTACGTTTGAACCAACCATGAATGGGAAAGTTACCAACTACAAATGGGTTTGTCTGGAAATGGGGCAACTACCAAAACTGCATCCTTTCAATGGCCAAAATGCTGTTTTTTTCCCATGAGACCTTGGGGCCATCCCGTTTTCAAAATCGAATGGGACATTTAGCAACCACTGATTTGGTAAGCTTGACCAGGTAGTGAGCATCAAACATGAGAATAAAATGATGTGATGTGATGTGATTGGCTTCAATTCCCTGAAAAACGTGATCAATTTGGGATCACCGCCCCGTAGGGATGAAATTTGAGATCCAAGCACCACAAAATGGCAGGTTGCATTTGTAGCAATTAAAAAAGGGACTCAGTGGAACAAAAATCGGCGGGCATGCAATCAAGAAGAACGGTCCTTTGAAAAAAAAACCTCCCCGGCATTTTTTGAATGGTTAAAATGATGGAAAATGGCCGTTTGGCGCGCCTCGATCAAAGATCCCAACATGTTGCCGTGCTCTGAATGCTTCTTGGCATCTTCCAAGTCGTGTTGCCGCTGCGACCTTTCCCGCTGAGCCGCGAGCATGTAGTTGACCAAATAGAACAGCAAGACGCCCAACAGGACTAGGCTACAGATCATGGTCCATAAGGGGATGTGTACCTCAGATTTTTGCGCCACTTCCACCACAGAAGCCCAACTTTTGGCCACAAAGGCTTGCTGTTGCATCAAAACATCCATGAGGATATCATCCTCTTCAAGCGCACTGGAGCTGTTGGAGACATTCACTTGAAGCTGAAGCATGGCAAAACCAGATGCCGCGGCCACCTGATGGGTTCCAGATTTTGGCATGATCTCGGAGGTGCCAGAGGAACAGAATAGATTGGTGTAAACAAATATCAAAAAATGAAACCGACCCACTCCATAGTCATCACGTCTGCTTTAGCCAGGCTCAGCGCACAGTGAAGTTTTTTTTGAATTCTTTTAATTTGTTGATCCCCCCCACCTCATCCTGACAATGTAACGGTTCGGTGATCGTCATTTGCTAATGGCCCCTTTGCCGTCGGGGCCCACACGGCTTTGCCCAGGGCAGGCGCCGTGCCAGGCCCTTCTCCGTGCCATCTTTGAGAATAATGGCAGAGGCACCAAGGTTCCGAAAACTGGGTCATACTGGGTCCATGCTATGGGTCAAGCCACTCAGGCACCAATGGCCCCACAAAAGTGGACACCTTCAAAAACAACCATTTTTGGGGGGTGATCAATAAATTTGACCCGCACCCCAATTGGCACAAAAAATGCCCATAGCAACCACGCCCCGTCTCTGTGATCGCAACATATGCCAAGCATCCCGAAATGACATGTTGGGCTTCGAAAGGATGCGACAGAATCCTTCTGGGCATAAAGAACTTGTGACCAGGCCTGCAGGTTGAGGATGGGTGCCTGTGCGCACCCAATGCTAGCTAGTGCATCAGTGAAAATAGTAAATAAAATAAAGAGAGAAATGTAATGTACACATACATAAACAATCATAAACATGTGCATAGTATATATATATATATCATCTACAACACAAAGACAAAAATTATTCCTCTTCACTACCTGCTGCAACCCTCACCCCTTAGACTCCTGACAAGTTTCATACGAATCACATGGCGGATCATGGATCATATGAATCACACGGCGGATCATGGATCAGTTGGTTGGTTTGTTTTTTATTATATTCTTACTTGAAAAGCGATCCGCCACGCAGGCCACGCGAAATGAGGATACGTGAGCCGCAGCTGAGGATGATGATGATGTTTATATGGCACTAAACGGGGAACAAATTGTCTTCCCCTTGGTGTGTTCGTTTAGATCTAAACTATCTCCCGTGATATATATATATATATATACGTTGCACATCTGTACATATTTCATCAAGGGTGCCTTAAGGGTATACCCCGTCAACATACCTCAGAATAATAAAGTATTCTTCCAGCATGGTTTGACATCAAAAAAATATTATTCCAACAACTCAATGAGATATATGAGATGTTGGAGTAACCGGCGTAGTTTTTTGTAGCGAAAGGTAAGCAGCTGTGATCAGCTGCGCGCAAGCGGCCGAAAAAGGTTTCCCACCTTGCAGAGCTGGGGTGCAATTTTAAATATAATCAGATAGGATCAAGAAGAGCCAGCATAATATCTTCAAAATGTTGCCTTCTCAGAAACCCACTGGCTGAACATTGTTTTCATTGGTTTTGGATGTTTTTCCAGTTTCTGGGCTAGTTTGGTGGTTGTGGCCCTATTGGGAATGAGTGGGAAAAGGAAAATGTTTGGTTTTCACTGTTTTTCTTGTGTTTTTGCAAATTTCTGGGCTAGTTTTGTGATTGTAGCAACTGCCCACTTTGGTTTTTTGAGGGGTGCCAAATATCTCTAATACCTCTAGAATAATTTCTCCCCTGGAAAGCCCACAAAATGGTACTCAACCTGGCTCTCTCCTAGAGGTTTTCCCAACCCTGCGTACGTCCCCCTATTTCTTCCATGTTCCCTTCATTGCCATCCAAAGAACTCTCGTTGGCCATAGTGGGAATGAGTGGGAAATGTTTGGTTTTCATTCGTTTTTGACAATTCTTGCAAGTTTCTGGGCTAGTTTGGTGATTGTGGCAGCTACCCACTTTGAATTTTGAGGGGTGCCAGGCATCTCCATTTCTCCCCTGGGGAAAGCCCACAAAATAGACACTTTCCTAACCTTGTGTGCTTCCCCCTATTTCTTCCATATTCCCTTCATTGCCATCCAAAGAACTCTCGGGAGAAAGCACCGTGAGAGAAAGGTGGTCCGTTGGACACTAGTTGTGCTTGCAAGTACACTGCAAAAAAAAGGTTGGCATCAATTGCCAAAACTGCTAGATGCCTCAAACAACTGCAATTGGCATTTCCTGCAAAAGGCTTTCAGGCAAACACCGTCAAGCTAGGAATGATTAGGAATGGCTTTTGGAAAGGCCAGGCCAGGTACAGGAATGTTGAAGCTGTTTCGTGAAATTATTCCAAAAGATAATTATTCCGGGGTATGTTGAGGGGCTGGATCATGATTTTAAAATTCAAACATGCATAATCGTAGACCCACCCCTTGAGGAAATTATTCAAGGAAAACTATTCCAAAAGAATTATTCCATAACCTAAGTTGATACCCTGGAATTATTTTTTAAGGGATGGGTCATCATATTTCATATGTCTACTGAGTCTACTCGGTTCTCCATGAAAAACGTGCCTCTGCGCTTTGCTTGGCTCTCCAAGGCCTCGCCTCGCGAAAACTCGGCCGTGGATAAATCATCAGAGGGCCGAAGAGGAAACATCCTCAGCCCCAATTTGTTGGCTCACAAAGGTTCATTATGTTTAATACTATTTATGATATTTTGTCGTTGGGTTTAAGAAGGTTTACCCTCATGTCGCACGGAGAGAATACTTTACTTCGAGTGACCCCCACCCTGACACACTATTCGGACATAGTTTCTGGCATATCATCTGGAAGTATATATGGCATATAAATATATATATATATATTCTGACATATCTTTCTGGCCTTCTATCTGGCATCTATTCTGGCATTCTATCTGGCATCTATTCTGACATTCTACCTGGCATGTATTCTGACATTCTATCTGGCATGGATTCCGACATTCTTTATGGCATCTATTCTGGAATTCATTCTGGCATCTATTCTGACATTCGATCTGACACTCTATCTGGCATCTTTTCCCGTTTTTCTTTCTGACATTTTTTCTGGCATTCTATCTGACACATGTGACATACGTTCTGACAATCTATCTGACATATATTCCGGCAGTCTGTCTGGCATTCTCTCTGGTATTGAGCTCGCCATAGGGTTCGGGTCCAGGCGTGCTCCACTGCATCCGGAGCTGGCGATATGGTGATCGGGTCGGGTGAGGGAATGAAGAGGGGAGTGAGTGCCTGAGTGAGTGAGTGAGTGAGTGAAAGAGTTGCACTGTTAAAATCTAGAGACCCTTACCTTGGCAGGCGGGGAAAACACACACTTAGAGGATCTTAGAGGTTTAGTGTGTTTATTATTGGATTTACCGTTACCTTTGCAAGGATGGAAACTAGAAGATATTTCCCCAGGGTAAACTATCATTGACAGTTCACCACCCCAAGATTGCAGGATAAGAGATGATCCGATCCCATCATCTACGATGGGGTCGTTTGACCATGCTTGCCGGATCTTGCCAGCAAGTTCTGCCTCACCTTCAGCCATTGACACCCGTTCCAGTCCCGCCTACCGGCGCGAACCAGTCTTCCTCTGGGCAGGCGGGGACCTCAGTCTTCCATGGATTGGAACCCCGGACACTTGACATGGAACTCGCCTGAAACGATGAGGTCCAATTTGGATTTTGGAGGTAGTTCTAAACTGCAGGGTTTCGCGCGACCTTTCCAAGTGTTTAAGTTTACAAAGCAGATCAAAGCAGCACATGGCTATTGCACATCGCGCCAGCTGCTGCCATGCTACCTGAGTATCGTGGCAAACGCCAGCTGCATCCTGGCCACCATGAAGCTCATGCCCATGACCGAGCAGTGAACTTTCTCTCACACAGACACGTATAGTATATTCTAGTATAGTATATGTATATATATATATACAAATGTGTGTGTGGACATATTTCAAACTATGCATTCGAAATGAAATTTAAATGCTATTTTGTTTTCTTCCCTGATCTCTGACAAGAAGATCGAGCAGGTTTTCAGTCACAGATCGGCTGCCTCTAACATCCTCTCTGCCAGCTGCTTCAGCCCTGCATCCTTCACTGATTCCATGCACCTGAGCTGCGACCCCAATCTGTTCCATCACTGAAACATAACCATAGAAAGCAAGGAGCGTTTTCTCGCCTGCCGCATAGCCTGTCGGTTGAAACATCGAACCATCGGCCCCTCTTGGAGGGTCCAAGGTCACCTACGACGACCAAAGGCTCCAGCTGACGTCAGCTGGCGCCCAGCAAGAAAGCCACCGAAATCCGAGGGCCGCTCCCACTGGACATCTTGGGAATGCCATGGGTGTGATTCCTGAGGGCCAAGTATCCCTCAACCCCAGCCCAGTTTAGCGTTACAAGGGGTGGAGGGATTTATGAACCAACCATGTCATTCTAGGGTTTATGAAGCATCTAGTATTGGGGCGGAGGTCATCTGTGGGGGTTATTTTGGCTGAGACCTGTCACACTGTGGAAATTGGGGCCGCAATGTGGCTCTGTCCGAGCTGAAGATAGTGGGACACCCCAAAAGTTGCGATTTTAATGATGGCGGCGACAATATTACGTAAAGTATAAACAAATGCCGTGATATTTACTGGTTATATATACTTGATATTGGCTCGCATAATCGATTGCAGCTTTTCCTATAAATCCACGTAGCGGGACCCATATCAACTAGTACCCATGATTAAGAATGACCTGTAAGCAAAACTAGCGGACTGGCAGAAACAATTCTGAAATTCTTGTTAAGATACATTCAGCGGGTGAATTTCAGCCCAAACACGCCTGCAAACTCTGGCATTTCCCACATTTTACCAGCCTAAAGCAATGGGAGGGTCCTGCAAATTGTTCCTTCAGCCCTTCGACCATATGCTTCACGTGACAATGCATGACATCATGGGGATGAAAAACCCGTTGAGGAGATCACCGGAGGCTTACCCTCTGGTAATTTAACATAGCTATTGAAAATCACCATTTTTAATGGGAAAATCCACTATAAATGGCCATTTTCAATAGCTACGTTAAATTACCAGAGGGTATCCCCCAGTTCCAACAATTCCATGCCACGGCTCTGATTCCACTTGGCATTGAAGAACATGGCGTCCCCACTGCGCAGCCAGCGATGTTCCTCTCGACCCTGACAGCTGTCACCACAAGGCTTCAGAGCGGAGAAGCTATCCACCATGCTGCATAGACGACCTGTTGGGAAGTTGGAGAATGGCAAACTCGGGTTGTTTAATTTGCATTAATTTGCTGGATACCAGCTTAGTAGCAAATTATTACTTTCTGGGGTACCCCGCAAGGGCGTCAACCGGGGCTTATTAAGCCGGGGTCGACATCACAGGCTGTAACACAAACATGGAATGTGTAACCTCAGGTATGACAGGGATATTGGTCTGGAGATTCACCAGCGAAAACAAATAAATGGCAACTGAAAACCCCCAGCTTTAGTAGAAAGGTCATCCAGAAACCATCAGAAACCCAGGTTGTCCAATGTCATCTTTGTGTGCCATGCGCCCCGCAGGTCATATGGTAATACCGGATCAGGTTGTGGATAATAAAGTGAAATCCAATTCTCTAAGCCCAAGGGATTATGGCACACGATTACAGATGATAATCCAATGGTGCAATATGCTTTTGATTCCAAGTTAATCATGATCATGATTTCTTAGAGAGTTCACATATGTTCACATTAATCTAACATGATTCCAGATTCTCATTGTTGGGCGCCAACCCTGAACGCATCCAGGCAACAGAGTCTGCTGGAACCCAGGGAATAACCTCAGCTTGAGGCAATGGAGAACGCTAAATAGGATGGACCATGCCCCAAAATAGATGCCATTTGACTAGAGAGGAAATTTCCCGAGGTTCCCGAGTCGTAGAAAACTTCCCACAAAGTTCATCACCAACTACTAAACTACCATAAACTACCCTATCAATTTTTAGCGCTGTCTCACTCACTGTAGCCCTATTAAATACACACAAATTCACATGAACCCTCCCAGGAAGCCTTACCGAGCAACACACCGTCCCCACGCACTCCTTGAAGGAGCAGGCGCAGTTGGGCCCCGCCCGCTGCTTGGCTCCATAGACATCGCGGTGCTGATCGTGGAAGGACTCTCCGGTGCAATGAAAGTTCACCTGCACCGCTGAGACGAAGCCCCCATAGGTCGCCTCCTGGAAAAGGCCAAGAAAATTGGGAGATTTGAAGGTGTTGTCTTTGTTGTTTCAAATGTGCAAAATCCAAACAAAAAGGCCAGGGATTTACCCATTTACCTCTGAATACTTGGGAAAACGAAAAAAACAAATCATCACTCACAAGATGCATCTGCAATCTATACAGTATAATGTGGGTCAAACAATGCCATGTTTACCATCCCCCAGTCATCACCATCTTTATAGGTGGTATCCATCTGTGGTACGGTTACCATTCCCATACCACATTTCCAAATCTACGCCCAGCAGCGCTTGACTGGACGAGTTTGAGCATCATTTGAGCACATCTCCTCAGACGAGGTTTGCTTTGACACTCATGAGCCCGCCAAAATTACATGTCCGGCAATGACCTTGAAACATATCTTTTGTATATAACCATGCGTAGTAAAATATAATGCATTATGATTATAATGATTTATAATGTCTTATATAATGCATTATGATTATAATGATTTATAATGTCTTATATGATCTTATATATATATAAGAATAATAAAAGAATACTGTGCACATACATCATATTTGTGTGTGTGCAGTAGGTTACCCACTTATTTGCGTATGTAGTAGGCGGGAGTCGAAGAGACTCATTGCCACGCGCCGACTACACCTTTGGTGGATCTGGTTCCATCTCCATCAAGGCTGCCACTATCAGATCATGTTCCCCGTTAAGAGTGGTATTGTGGGCTACATATTCTGTTATTATAATGTGACATGTTCAGTCATGCCAACAACTGTGTGTATTCATAAGGGCTGCCCTGTTTTATCTTGACGAAGTTGCTAAATTCAAAATCCGCTCCAGACGGCCTATTGGATATTGCAACTGTTGGGTTCAATGTTAAATGTAGAGGGCGTAAGGATGCAAATGTCACTCCTGGCTCGAAAAGTCCGCCGTCTTGTTCGCATTTTTTAACATGGTCATATTTGTGTTTCACCCCAATCTTGCCCGCTATATCCCCTTTTTGTTTGTTCAAACTCATTTGCTAATCATGGTAGGTGAGATCAAGTTATATACACCCAATAAGAACATGATGGGTATATGATTCTTGTTGGCTATTGATACCCTCTCACATGGCAGTGGGAAGTCCTCCATCCACACTGATCTACAAATAAGAATTGGTGCCTAGAAAATCACCCAGGATCTATGCGTTGATGTACAAGCGAGGCTTCTTAATCGCCAATTTTTGCTGGTGAAACAATGTTAAGCTGCCTTTTTTGGGCAAAGCAATGCTGTCACTTTGGTTTCCTTGGCCAAGACCCTTTTTTATTGATGAAAGCCCAGCTCTTGTTGCTTAACGTTGCTTGACCCCCCATGTTAGGGTGGTCAGGCCCCCACTTTCTTTTGACCCCACATTTTGGTGGGCGAACTCCGGCTTTTGACCTCACTATATCAGCTGTATCCCCGTAGGTTTTGTGGTTACCCGGGTGGTTCACCCCAGGAATCCCAGGCTATTAGTATTATGGTGGTACCCCAAATCTATCGTTAGATCCCCATGTCTTTTTTGGAACGTCCCCCATTTCTTCCCTCGCCGGCTCGCCGGGGCTCTGTTGGTTGGCACTTTCCAAGGTCCGTACCAAGGCGTTCACCGACTGGTTTCGATCGAAGGCGCTGAAAATCAGTTTCCCGCCCGCCGGCCACACAGAGCCCTCCTGGTGATTGGAAGCTTTGGGCCGGGAAATTCGCACAGCAAGTTCTGGAAATTTGGATGGAAATGTGATCATGGACACAAGTGAATTTAATCAAATCAGATTTAATTTAACCCATATATATATAATTATATATATATATATCATGGCGGATTACAATGAGTTGTTGGATGGAAAATGACGAATTTGATAGAAAATTGTCATTTTGGTATATATGACTAAAAACATTACTGGGATTTGACCAATGAGGAGTTGACTGCAATGGGTTATGGTGGATTTATGTCTGTCAATAATGGGGGCATTGCGCCAACAGAGTCCCTAAAGAACTCAAAACATCTTGAAGGAGCCTGACCAAAGAAAAAACAGAGAACTACCTAAAGATGCTAAAGAACTCCCAAAACATCCGAATGAAATCCCAGAATAAAATCCCAAAGAAATGCCTAAACAAAACAAAGAAATACACCGAAAATCCAAAGAACCACGTAAAACTCGCAAGAACTCCCAACAAGCATCCAAAAGACCCAAGAACCCCCAAACAATCACAAAGAAATACCTCAAAATCCTCACGAAATCAATAGAAATGAATATATCCAATAGAAAATATAGAATCATATAGGAAATCATCGGAAATCCTCCAGAAATTCGCCCCAAAAAAAAAACAAAAAGACCGAAGCAACCCCGACCTCCGAGGCTAAAGCTGCTTCCACCAGACTCTCAAAGAGGAGCCGATCCGCACCAGGGCCCAGGCATTGATCAACGGCACCACTGATGATGCTCAGCACCTCCCCTGGCGAACCCGGCAGGTTCCTCTATAAAAAATTGTGGGTTTAGTGGTATAATCATGAGATTCAGTGATGACTTGATGGGATTTATATATAGTTAGATATAGAACATCATCCTCAATCTCAATCATCTTGAAGCTCCACAACACTTCCTGAACACTTCCTGCCAGTCATCCCACCTGGGTTGCACGGCTCGTTGCATGGACAATCCGTGACGGGACAGGGACGCTCCGTGTCAGATCCCTGGGGAGCGGTGATCAACTCCCAACTCATCTGTTGCCGCAGCTCATCCTTGCCGCAACCTCCCCAAGGCGGCTGCGAGTAGCAAGGAAGAACCACTGAAGCATCAGCCAACCCATCAAAAACTGGCTACATTGCCAAGAAGAATTCAATGGATTCATTCAAGGGAAAGGTGTGTGGCAACCTTGAATGTTGCATCAAGCTGGGATTTCCTGACAATTTGTTCATCAATTCTGGGGAGAATTGCCTATTCTGTGAAGGACCTGATTTGCGGAAGGCTGCAGCCGAACTTTGCCAGAACCCTCCCCAAATCATCAAGTCGCAGGGAATTCCAAGCCAAGGCATTCCTTCCCAGCTTGCAAGCCAAGACAAACGTAGGTAATTCAAGAGAGTTCCTGGTCAATTCCGTACTTTCCATAAAGTCAAATTCACACAAATTAACCTTTGTCTGGTTTCTCCAAACATATCTTTGATTCTTCCACATACACATTCCTCCCCGCAGGGCGCCGCCTGCTGCCACATGCATCCGCTGCTTCCTCATCAGCTTCAGTTTCTCCTCCGCCCTCTCCAAGTGCTCCAGGTCCACTGAGGCTAAGCGTGCCTTGGTCCTCGGTGATCAATGGAGGTTTCCGAGGGGCACCTTAAATCATCCAAGTCATTCGACCGAACAACATCGAACAACCATGGTGACTTGGGGATCCCCCATTTTAAGAAACACACATATGGGTGTGTCTAAAAATGGGGTATACAGGGAATTGCCATTCGACCGGGATAAATAAAAAAATGTGATGGATGGAAAATGGTATTTGGGTGGTAACCTGTTCTTAGGTTCACCCCTATGGATAAACTCTTGTTGTAAGGGTGGAATGCTCATGGATCCTGAAATGTGCACGTCATTTCTTGCAAAAAGGGGCTGCCAGCTCCCCAATTCCTGAAATGTAACGAATCTAACGTAATCTACCCTCTGGTAATTCAACATAGCTAGGAAAAATAACAAATTTTGAAGGATAAACATGGATAAACCATCTCCCAAATGGGGCATTTTCCATAGCTATGTTAGATTACTGGAAGGCAATTGTCTGACCAATTACGGTAAGTATTGACAGGAACCGTAACCGAGGGGGCGCCATTTTTTTCCTCGGCTTAATCAAACACCAGGGGCACTATTCTGGGGGTCACATTGGGGATGTCTTCTGATGGGTAGACAATTCCTATACTTGCTGTGATGGGGAAAAAAGGAAGAATTTAACGATTATATAATTATATATATATATATAGTACTGGCCCCCAGCATCCGACATTCAAGTACTGGTCGTGGGCTGTTGGCAAATGTTGGCAGGATCCATCCATTGGGAATCGGGCAGGAAACCAACCAAAACCAAAGAACCAAAGGATATGGTGCCACGAGAGACGACACCTAAGGCCTTTCCATCCTTTCCTATACAGTAATTCCCCAAACAGCGCGTCCCCACTGAGGGTTCTTACAGTAGGTGTTAAGGCCCACTGTTCAATCGAGGTGGTATCGAAAGCGTCCGTCGTTTTCCCTGTAAATCTCCGCGCAAAATGCCTCCTGTGACATGTCCATGTGCATTTCGACTGCGCAGGCTCGCACAAAATGCTTGCCCGGGACTAGCGTCTGGCATTTTCCCTGTAAATTTCCGCATAAAACGCCTCTTGTGACATGTCCATGTGCATTTCGACTGCGCAGGCTCGCACAAAATGTTTACCCCGGGATTAGCACCCGGCATTTTCCTAGCGTCCGGCATTTTCCCTAAAGCTCGCACAAAATGCTTGCCCAGGGATTAGAAACCGGCATTTTCCCTACAAATTTCCGCACATAATGCCTCTTGTGACATGTCCATGTGCATTTTGACTGCGCAAGCTCGCACAAAGTGTGCTTCCCGGTCTTGGGATCGGTCTTCCTCCTCCACATCCTCCACATCCTCCTCCTCGACATCATCATCTTCCTCCTCCTCCTCAACATCCACATCATCATCTTCCTCTTGCCATCATCATCATCATCAACAACATCATCATCACCACCATCACCATCACCGTCACCGTCACCATCACCATCACCATCACCATCATCATCATCATCACTATCACTATCACTATCATCATCATCATCATCATCATCATCATCATCATCATCATCATCATCATCATCATCGCCATCATCATCGCCATCATCATCACCATCATCATCATCATCATCATCATCATCATCGCCATCATCATCGCCATCATCATCACCATCATCATCATCGCCATCATCATCATCATCATCATCATCATCATAATCACCATCAACATCACCATCATCATCAACATCATCATCACATTAACATCATCAACATGAATTATAATACATGATCGTTGTACTCCCCCCACACTGTTTGGGGCCTCTTGCCGGGATATGTTTTTCTTTTTTTTGGCGCGATGTTTATTCTTGAGGAAATTGCGGAACCCAAGGTGCTATGAAATGGTGCGAAATGAGCCGGTGGTGTGGCTTCAAAAAGGGTAGCAGCGCAAATTTGAACCATTTCATTTAAAAAGGCCTTTGTCCAAAATGGATCAAAGCAATTGGCCGACTTGATCTCATTCTGACATGGAGTCCAATGTGTAGAAAAGGGAATCCATCCAAACAAGCGCCTGCTTTCGTATTATCCGACACGCACTTGACCAAGAAACATCACTATTGAAGGATGCCAAACTGTAGAGCCGAGCAATTCGATGAAGTATGTCTTGTCGCTGGACAAATTCCAGAACCAACAGGTGCTACAATCATACCCTTTCAGCAACTATTAACGCGGGGCTCCAATCATGGACTCTCCTCCCTCAAAAAGCACAACTGCTTTCAAGGATCAATTGTGCGTGAAGCTCATCATAATCACCTGAGTTGGCCCGGTCCAACCCTGACGAAAAGGCAGGGCTGTGGACAAGGATGTACCAGGAACATCCCTCAAGATCCTTGGGCTACCAATGAATCCATGCTGAGGATGGAAAGGAAATCCTCGCACAACAAATCCCCTAAAGTCCTAAAGTAACCTCCAAAGTAAAGAGTCCCAAAAAGATAGAAAAGTCAATCGTCACCATTTTGGTGTGATTTTGCTTGTCTATCTTTTTAGGGCGTTACTGTACAGGAAAAAACTGTTTGGAAACCATCCAGTGACCCGTTTCCTGCGCATCTTGCAGTGCCTGTTGTTGGCAACACCTCTTAACCTCCGCCGAGGTTGCAGCACGCAGTTGCACAGACCTGAGGAAGGGATGTCGGAATGGAAACACGTGATCAATCAGGCTGAAGTTGTTGGAATCCATCATGATCATGATCATGATCATGATCATGATCATGATCATGATGATGACGATGACGATGACGAGGACGAGGAGGAGGAGGAGGAGGGATTGTGACATAGTGGCACGGTGTTAGTGAGTGAGTTTCCCAATGAACTGCAGACAGTTGGCAGTTTGAATCCCACCGAACATCTTGAATGTCCCTCCAAAGCTACCATATCTACCATAGGGAAATGCATGAAAATGCTACCAACCGTCCTTGGGTGTTTTTTTCGGGGATTGAATCCCCAGCTGCCAAGCCACAACACACCACCAGCCAACTCCAGATCCGCTGCCTTGCCCTCCGTTGGGCGCTCCACTGAATGGCGCCAGTCCCAGTGCGGTGTCGCCAGGGCGGTGTAGCGCCAGCGCCCACAGCTGCCGATGAAGGTGGAGCCCACCTTGCTGTGGGCCACAGCGAAGGGAATGGCTGGAAAGCCCTCCAGCAGGAGCTGCCCATCCTGGATGATGGGGGCCAAGAAAAGATCTTGGGTGATCTTGGGACCATGCTTTCCAACTTTTTGGGACGGAATATAAAGCAGAAAATCTATAGGAAACATGCTCATCTCGCCGAAGTGGTCCAATCTGTTCAAGAAAATCTTGTAACCACTCACCGAAACTCATCACCTAGCATCTGTCTGATTCCCTTGAGCTCCCATTGGAAGGCTATAGGTAATCTGCTCCGCCGCTTGTGCCGCGCAGGTCTCAGAACCGTTCACCGAAAGCTCCGCATTGGCAGAAACGTGCACGGTGGTCCCGAAACTTTGGCACGCCACTCGCAGGCGAAACAGCACAGGGCTTGGGCTACTCGACAACGGAGGAGTATTCAGAAGAAGTGATGCCACCGTCACAGCCTGAATGGCGATACCAATAGCTCCAGGTGCACCCAAAAAGTGCCAACTTGTGGAGCCATCAAATGTCAAAACAGCATATACAAAGAATATCAAAGAATGAGAAAAGGATTGCTCGTGAAAAATCCATGGGCTCCATTGATAAAACCTCAATGTTTCGGATATATTGAGGCTATCAGCATGTAATAGTAATCGTTTAAGCCCTTGATTCGGTGCCCATGGATTTCCCACGGGTCTTCCCCAGCGCGTCACCGTATTGGCCGTGCGGATAGGTCCTTCATCGGACTTTCCAGCCTTCGGTCGACCGTCTTTTGACAAGTGAGAGAAGGAGCCACTGCGACCCCGAAGGAGTGGTTTTTTCCGAGGCGCCGTAGCCAGTTGACCATTCCTGGGCGACGATTTTTTGGGCGGAAAAAATCGGAAAATGCAGAAAATGCGTGATTCGGAGATTGTTTAAAATAGCTATGTGGGATGCCGCAGTATGGGGTTCCAATCTGATTTTAGTGATAGGTCCTTTTGTGGTTAGGGTTTGCTGTCCAAATCTGTTGGTGGAGCCTTTGGACTGAAAGACAGCTACGCATCGATGCCCATCTAAATCATAACTACCCACGCGTGGGACTTCCACTTAATTACCCTGATAGATAGCCAGAGAGTACTTGGATCTGCAAATCCGAGGGTCAGAACTAGGTCCATGATGCGATTTTCGCATCGGCCCAGTGATTCAAACGGTGAACTTGAGCCGATATGCCGAGGTGAGCCTTTGCGATCGTAGGACCCATCCGGGAACATATTCCTGTGATTCCCGCTGGGATCCTCTGGGCACGGGAAGAACGGAGAAGTTTTCCAACATAACCCTGAGATAGTTTGGTATGGCTGATGCCCCATTCCGAGGCTCAAGCCAGCACTCCACTGAGTCTAGGAATGAAGCTCAACGTGTTGGCTTCAAACCATCCGAACAATATCGGTCAACTGAGCCAACCTTCATGCTATTTCTGGTGACTCACCCAGGTCATTCAGCCAGAAATTCCCATCTGGCTAACCACCCCCCAAAAAAAACAGGAATATAGCTATAGGCTATATAGAGGCTATAGGCATTATCGCTATGCATTGACCACAAACCCAACCAAATCTTCACATCTTCATCTGTGATTACCATTGAAAATCCATTGAAAATCCATTGAAAATCCCAATTTCCAAGGCGTTCGGTCGGCCGAATCTTCCAAGGCACGCATTGAGTTTCTCAGTGTTCCAGGCCATGTACGTCAGATCTTCCAAGGCCACCACCTATGAAATCCAAGGTTTGGAGTACCCTGACATGGGATTTTCATATACCCTCTGGTTATGTCAAAATAGCTATTGAAAATGGCCATAGAAATAGTGGATTTTCCCATTGAAAATGGTGATTTTCCATAGTTATGTTAGTTTACCAGAGGGTATGTTCATGGGATTGAGTGCGTTTTTGTCGTGATTCATATGGATTTAACCAACAACAATGGGGATATTAATGGGAACTACCCTCTGATAATTTGACATAGCTATGGAAAATGGATGAAAATGGTCCCTTTCTAGATGAGTTAGTTACCCATGAAAAACGGTGATGTTCTGTAGCGATAGCTGTGTAAAATTGCCAGGCGGTTATCAATCTCTTTAAAACATGCGGGTGGTATGAAAAAGTGTTGTTTCCAAGAATTGTCAAAATCGTCATTGTTGTTCTCCTTGTTTATGGCGCAGCGTGGGTACTCCAATTCCGTTTGCCAACCGTGCTAAATGTATAATGTGAACCGGTGCACATGCAATCCTACAAATTGTATGTGTCCTTCAAAAACAATATGTGGTTAGTTTGCACTATGGATTCCCAAAAAAAAACAGATCTGACCGGTTCCCTGGGCCACTCAAAATTCTGACCAGGGATGAGGAGCCAACGTGCCCATGATATTCCTGTTGTACCCCTACTATATGTCATTGTATTACAAGAAATGTCACCATTATATTCTATTCCCATTGTGTCAGCATGATAACTCCATAGTATGTATACATTAGTATATACATATATATATATGTGTGTGTGTGTTTGTATCAGTATTATATATCTCCATAATGTCTCCATATCATCTCAGTACTATCAGCATTATATATATATATATCATCATATCCATTAGGTTATCAGTACCATCTCCTATATGACTGTGGGTCAAAACCCTGGCACCCTGCTCTTAGCGAAATAGTTGGCATTCCCCCCAAATATGCTTATAGAGTCAGTCTTATAGTAGGTTTTGACCCATCCTCCATGTGATCTTGGGTTGTTGAGGTTTGAAGCTCCAAGTACGGCCTGATCCTCGCAGCAGGCGTTCAGGAAAGCTCCAGGAAGCAAATCCTCCTGACATCCGGGCACCATGTGAGAACAGCCCTACCCTGCACATGGGATTTTCATATATGTTCATGGGATTGAGTGGGATTTCATGGTGATTCTATAATAGGGATTTAACCAACAACAATGGGGATATTAATGGGAATTACCCTCTGATAATTTGACATAGCTATGGAAAATGGTCCCTTTCTAGATGAGTTGGTTACCCATGAAAAACGGTGATGTTCTGTAGCGATAGCTGTGTTAAATTGCCAGGCGGTTATCAATCTCTTTAAAACATGCGGGTGGTATGAAAAAGTGTTGTTTCCAAGAATTGTCAAAATCGTCGCTGTTGTATGTTTACCAAAGGGTAAAGTGACAATTGCGGAAAGACCCCCATAGCCAACCGGTGGTTTCAGGCGAAATTCAGGAACCCACAGGTGGACCTGGCCCTGTAGTTGGTCAATAAGCTACTCCCCATCGCAGCGTGGCTCGCAAGCCCACAATCCATTTAACGGACACATTCCAGCCACCAATCCAAGATAAATATAGATAAATCACATACATCAGAACATAAACCAATTTCCAGCAACATAAACCGACACCAATCGACATCAACCAATATCAACTCACCAACTTAGCAACTCACTGACTCTTCCAATTGCCTTGTCTTCTCCACGCTTCCTGACGGCCTGGCCAAGTTCCACTGATGTGATTGCCTACTGCCGGCTCAAAATCCTTTGAAATCTCCCTGTTGTACCTATTCTATCGTAATTTTCCCTGTCTTCAATTGGTAAATCATGGTAAATCCAAACCTGAATCAAACTTGCGCGTAGTTTTGAACCCACATGTTCTCTTGATCAAGACATTCCAAAACCAAGCCTGAACGTATCCCAAAACTAGTTTTCAATCTAGAAAACGGAAATAAACCTAGCTGAAGCCACAAACCAGCACGTGTTTCTTTTTCTTGACCCACCTACAGCAAGCAGTTTTGGACCTACCTTCCACCCACGGCCTTTGCCATGCTGTTTGCGTTTTTTTTCGCTCTTGACTGCGCATCATGGGAAAATTAGGTACCCTGCCCAAAAAAGAAATATTTCGAGTTCCCCCCGGCAAATGATTAAAGATGATTAAAGTATGTCCTAATACCCTTTGCCGGTTGGTGTACCCACCATTTTGCTGCTGATTTCCCCATATGTTGCCGGCTAAATCACCATTGTTGACGCTTCACTCACCATGTTTGATGGTTAAACATCATTTTTCTCGATCACCACGTTTCACGTTTAAACCCCTATGTTTAATGAATTTCATGGTGAATTTCTCCCATGTTTCATCAACATCTGGTGATTTCCCCCTGGTTTTTCCCATGGAAAAACCTCGCACCTTCCCACGGACCAGGATTCGGAGCTCGCCGTCTCCCTGCAGCGGCTGCCCGGCGGAGACGGAACCTGACGGAACCGTTGCTTGGAAAGGATCCTCAAAAAAGATCAAGAATCAAATGATATAAAATGTATCAAAATGGGATCTAAACTGCATATGATCATGTATTAATCAAACGCGTTAAACGGAGTGAAACGGAGTTAAACGTGTATAATCATCCGAGTTTGGAGTTTGGAAGATTTGGAAGCGATTTGGTTACCATGGCGTCAAATGATTGGCAGCTGGGAGTGGCGCACCCCAATGGCATCCGGCCATCGTGAGGAGCTTGTGGAACAGGCTCTGGGAACAGCCCTGGTGAGCTGGAGAGCAAGCAAGCTGGCAGGATCATAATACATGCATATTGTGGGGTCGTGAGGTGTCAAAGTTCTTCGGGAACTTTCAAGGAATACAGAATTTATGGTCTGAATCTATTTGGCAGTGGGTCAAAACCTTGTACCCCTGGTGAACATAAAAATAGCTGGTAAATGGATGTTCATCCCTCTAAAAATGGTATTAATAGGTATTGATTCATAGCCATTGATGTTTCTAAAACCATAAGAATCCGAAGCGTCCAGACCTGGAGAATTGGCAAGCCGAACATCACCAAAAAACCGGCTTTCCAGGAACGGGCAGCCCATGGCAGCCCCCCGTTTCACCTGGGGCAAGAAGTAGCGTGCATACAGCAAGGCCTGCGAAAAATCATGGGAAAACCATCTCCAATGATCCTCGGAAGCCGCTGGAAGCCTATGACACGACACTGTCCGACCTCATCCACGTCCAGGGCTACTGAGTCCTCAAGGGCGCACGCGCTTTTCCATCCATGTGTTTTTACATATTACACTCATATGCATACACACACACATATATATAAAATATAATTATACATGCAAATATACGTATATACTATTATACAATACGTACCTCTATATATATAATCATATCTATGGACATTTTATTTATATATATATATACACACACACTGCGTGCAATTCATATCTATGGACATATTACTGCGTGCTGCGGATAGGTTGAATCTGTAGATACAGTAATTAGTAATTTCTAAATGTCTGTGTGCATTAGTTTCTTTCCTTAGGTTAATGCATTCGATGGATTATGTATTGTAAATTCTAATTTATCGCAATTGACGCCTATGTGCGTGCCTGTGGGCACATGTGCACGTTCATCCCCTCTGCCAAGCGGTCAGCAAACACCCAAGAGCACCAAGTTTTCAAATCTACAGCCTTGTGCTGATGAAGCCCCAGAAATGTGCCTTCCAATCTCCATAGCTCTCGGACTATCACACACTATCAAGTGATTCCACAAAGAACGCGGAGCAACATTCGACTGTTCCAACCCATCAGTGGCCAACACAGCAAGTGCAGCAGCTGGGTTTTCCAAACTTGAGTTCCCATGATTTCCCTAAGGTCAGCATTGGTTTTCCACTGTTTTCGCATTAGGATCATTAGAAATCACCCATTTTATTCAACCACTTCGATAATCAAACATGGCTAGCTGGAAAGTCATCTTATAAATGGAGGTTTATAGCTGGCGAAATCAGTTATAAATGATTCTAATTTTGGTGGATGTTCATGGTTATCGTTGTAACTGATTCATGTAGATCTAAATGATTATAATGGATTATTATTGGATTATTATTACCCTCTGGTAATTTAACATAGCTATTGAAAATCACAATTTTTAATGGGAAAATCCACTATTAATGGTCATTTTCAATAGCTACGTTAAATTACCAGAGGGTATCAACTATCATTGTATCATTATTGTTGTCGTTATCTCACCCCCGGAACCGCCCCATCCGGTGTCCCCTGGCATGGCGTCCGTCCTTCTGTGTCTTGGCGAGCCCCAAAGCGCCGGACAACAAGGCGGGGCCGATGGGCATCGACTGGTGCAGCGCAGGTGGAGGTCAGAAGCACCATGGAAAAGGCTGATGGAACCATTCAAAATGGTGATTTAATGGAATTTGAAGGTGATTTAATGGGATTTGATTGTGATTTAATGGGATTTAATGATATTTGATGGTGATTTAATGGGATTTAATTGGATTTAATGGTGATTTAATGGGAGTTGATGGTGATTTAATGGGATTTAATGGGATTTAATTGGATTTAATGGTGATTTAATGGGATTTGATGGTGATTTAATGGGATTTAATGGGATTTAATTGGATTTAATGGTGATTTAATGGGAGTTGATGGTGATTTAATGGGATTTGATTGTGATTTAATGGGATTTAATGGTGATTTAATTGGATTTAATGGCGATTTAATGGGATTTAATGGTGATTCAATTGGATTTCATGGCGATTTAATGGGATTTGATTGTGATTTAATGGGATTTGATTGTGATTTGATGGGATTTAATGGGATTTGATGGTGATTTAATGGGATTTAATTGGATTTAATGGTGATTTAATGGGAGTTGATGGTGATTTAATGGGATTTAATGGGATTTAATTGGATTTAATGGTGATTTAATGGGAGTTGATGGTGATTTAATGGGATTTGATGGTGATTTAATGGGATTTAATGGGATTTAATTGGATTTAATGGTGTGTAGAAGCCACTGGCAAACAGCGATCAAAGCAACATGCTGATGCAAACGAGAGCACAGTCTTTTCGCCTGAAAACTGGGACACTTGTGCCTCAAATGTTTCGGGCATGTTCCTGTCATGGTACATGACATGCAAGATGCATATGCAGATGTCGCACATTGACACTGCTACAAAAACCTCTAATTTTAGCTGTACCCCTGGCTAGCTCTAAAAGGCAGAGCTACTGTGCCATCCCGAACTCGGGTCCACCAGGAGTCAGCTTTCATGAGCTTGGTGAGAATGTCAGCTAATTGCTCACCAGTCGGGAGCCAGTGCAACGGCGGTCTACACGGCCTCTCAGGGGTCACCAGGTCCTCGCCACTCATCTGGTGCTGCTTCTCCCACTGTAGACGTCCTTCATGGGCCAGCACCTGTCGAAGAGCGGCTAGGTCGATGGCCAACCGCTTGTCAGCTGGGGCCTTCGGGGTGCCCTCTCTGTGAATGTGGTCGTACAAGCTCTTGCAGTCGGTGATGCAGTGGAAGTCCATGTGTCTCCCGCATTCCTTTTCGGGAATCAAGGTGCCTGTCTTCATGGCTACAAAGAGACCCCGCAAGAACAGGCCACATTCGACTGCATCGCTGCAGGCCATGGTCTCCCCTGCAAAGGTGCTGCGACAAACTCTTTTGCACCCTTTGCTCTGCCAGTGCAAGAGGTTGAACCTTCCGACCTCGTTCGTCATGGCCTTCTTGTCGACGGCCACGATCAGAGCTCCAAGCTGCGAAGCCACCTGATGTTCACCCAACCAAGCGTCTTGGGGTACGGTGGTATCGTCCAAGAGAGCGTTGCCCCAGGCCGCATCGTGATAGGCCAAAATGGCGAGGGAGTCCTCCTCAATGCGATGTAGAGTGAGGCCACAATCGTAGTGCTTGGCTGCCATGTCCACAATCTTGTTCGTGTACTTCAGGTCGGCCACCGTAGGTGAGTTCTGTCTCCGTTGGGCCTGGGAAACAGCGAATTGTAGGTCCGGTCGAGTTTGTTTTGATAGCCAGGATAAGCTGCCAATCGACGTTCTGTTCTCCTCGATTTGCTCTCGGGAAGCTAATCCTGATCGTTCTGGTCGGGCATAATGTCAACCTTGTCGACACGATTCTTGGCATAGGTGACCTGGGTAATGTTGACATACTCAGGGTGGCAGTCGAACTCGCAGCCAACGTACTCAAAGTTGGAGACCTCCCAGTCCTCAATGGGGAACTTCTCTTTGAGCACCTTGTGAACCAATGGCTGAACCTCGGGTTCCGTCAGGAGCATCAGGTCATCGACGTGAGTCAATAGCAGGCCCCTGACATGGGCTTTTCCTTCGCCCTCCTTGTCAATCAGCATGAAGACGCAGGGATCCACAGGGTTCTGTTGAATGGTCAGAACACGGCCGTCGTTGATCTCGATCTCGAGGTCCTTGAGGTCATTTGATAGTTTGGTCCACCAGAGTTTCGGGCTTAGTAGAAAGTCCAAAGACGCCCTTGAGCACCTCCACCAACTGCTCGGGTTGTAGTGATGGGATCCCGTTTCGGGGCTGCCTGAAGTAAAGCTTCCTGGGTGCTGGTATGCCATTCAGGAAGGCTGCCCTGATGTCCCCCACCGATGCCACCCATGCTCGGGCCAAAGCTAGCTGCAACGCCAGGATGACACTTTGTCGACCCACAGTAAGCGCATCGGTCGCCAAGTCCTTGACTCCAAGATCAGGGTCCCATTGGCCAGCTATGCAGAGTCTTGCTTTGGGCTTCGGAGGGATCTGCGGATCGCTCTTCCTCTTGGCGTAATTCTTGTCCCTGTATGCGAATCTTGAATTCAAGATGCGCTCATTCGGCACAGTCTCCAGGACGTGTCGGCTCTCCTCCGCGCTCAAAGGCCGAACTGCCCCATACTCCACATGCTCAGCCCATTGCTTCGCCTCAGCTTCACGATATAGAGGTCGTTCATCCGGATGAATGAGTCCCCACGGTAGCTCCTTCTCCAATTGTTTCTCCTTGCCCTTCTTGGAGATGCACCTCTTCATCATGAATGCTTGTTGTCCCTCCTGTTGTCGGGCCATAGGGACGTCATCCAACAGGTGTGTGCGTTTTGCCGCCTGACGGATTGCTAGCTCTCTGCTAGCTGCTGCCTCTTGCGCTGGTGTCCTTGGGTTCGGCCGCCCTCCATCTTGAGCTGGGACTGCTTCCATGGACACATCCGGCTCTTCATCTGCTGGGACATAGGACTCGTCGATAGCGGTCTCATCCTCAGACACGTCCTGCTCGATGAGTTTCTTCACTTCCTTCATCGCCATCTTGAGCCGGAGTGTTTCACTGACCTCCTCCGGGCTGGCTGGTCGTAGATGCTCAGGAGCTGCCAAGTAACAGCGTCCGCCTCTGGCTAACCAAAAGTTCTGGCCTTCCCTGCCGATCACCGTAGCAGGACAGGTCCAGCTAGCTGATGGCTTCTTGGCTTTTCCTTGTTTCATCTCGCGGTACAGGTAGGCCAAGTCGCCAACCTGCAGCTCTTCAGGTTTGACTCTCGTCTTGTGGTTGACAGCTCGCTGGTAGGCCTCCTTCGTCTGGACTTGGAAGAAAGCGGCCTTTGCACCATTTTTTATAGTTTGCAAACGCCCAAATTTGCCTTGGGCACTAGCCGCATCCAGCGAAGAAAGTTCATGGCTTCCATCAAAAAGATCTCCAGGAAGCCTCTGATTCACCCCGAACACCCATTGTCGAGGGGAGTATCCGCTCCTGTTTCGAAGAGAGTTCTTCGAATCACACACAGCTGCCACGGCTTCCTCAATCTCCGTGTCAACCACCAAGTGATCCTCCACGAGCTTCGCCCAAATCAGCTTCCAGGTTTCCCCATGTCGTTCCGCTACTCCATTCTGCCAATGGGCCTGGGCGGCAGCGCTGCGCACCATCACGCTGCGCTCATCCATCATCGTGAGGAAGTCCCCCTTGAACGCTGAATCCAGGTCGACCAGCAACTGCTTCGGTATGCCAGCCCACCGGAACCAGCCACTGCAAAGTGCCTGGCCAACCTCGTCTGCCTTCGTGCTGGTGAGGGGGATGACCACTTGGTAGGTCGATGCTAGATCGACCACATTCAAAGCTGCATGGTTGGAGTTCTCCGCCGTGTCAAACCAGAGGATGTCGATCGCCACAATCTCATTGAAATCCAAGGCAACCACTGGAGAAGCAACCTTGTGTGCGTGAGGTAGGCTACTGCTGTCGCAGGTCTTGCAAGTCATTTGCTCAACCGCCCGTATCACACCTTCATTGGCTCCTCCAATCTTCAGATGCCTAATCAATTCACGGTTTGGTGGGTGGCCGAGATTTTGGTGCACACGTTTGATCAAGCTGGCTATTGTAGGGTTCGCCTTCCCCTTGAAGCTAATTGCATCGCCCCCAACTGGAAGTGGGGTGTCGTGTGCCATCGGACCTTCGGCGGGTTTGGAAGAGCTCTAGGAAAACTGGTTGGAGTGTCTCTCCTGATGATGTCGTTGTCGTCACGCCACACCCCAACTTTGGCGCAATTGCGCCATCCATCGAAAGCTCGTACAACCGCCTTGGCGAACTCGTCCGGGTACACTGAAGTCCGGGCCGTCTCCTGACCTCGAATCCTCTGATGTTCATGTCCTCCATCACAGCGTCTTGTGAGGTCCTCCGCGAACTCGGAGCTGTTGCAGAGGAGGGTCAGCCCCTTCTTCATAGGGATACCTTCGCGGCTCTCCAGGCCGTAGGTGCATAGATCCACCTGACATAGGTGCATCTCAGAGTCATGGTACCAACGACTCAAAGCGGAATGCCGCCATATATCGCTCGTCCTCGGATTTTCAACCACCACCAGGCCATAGTTGGCTCTCTGGAAGACAATGACCTCCTCCACTAATTTGATGAGCTCCTTCTCCCTGCGTCGCCGTCGTCGTCGTTCCTGGGAATCATGATTCAATCGGGAGAAGGCGCACCAGTTTGTGCATGGTGGAGCCAACCATATCATCTTGGGCCGATGTGTGTATATCTCGCGGAAGACCTCGTCCCTCTGCGACTCGTCTCGTAGGTCGTGTCCAAGCAGTAGATCTCGGGGCTGAAGTACTCCTCGCCTTTTGTTGGCAAAGGCCCCTGAAATCTTGCCATGACCGGCAAAGATCTCCAAGCAATCCACGGAATGCCGTCCGAAGTTCTCAGAATTCCACGAGGGCTGATGGTCATGCTTGGTGGCAAACACCGCATGTAGGTCGTTGAGGGGGTCGGCGATCACCTCCTTTGTCCAGGATCCCAAAGCCACGGTCATGACCATGAGGGCCTCCGCAAGTTTGTGGAGCTGGCTCGTGGTA